CTTAGGCAAACCTGAAAGCACGTAAGTTACTTAAGATTTTACCGGGTAAATTTTATCAGTCCTGTACGAGTTATCCTTTAAACACGATACACTAAACTCAACATATACAATATTTTGTTAACGTTGCTTAACGCTATGCCTTGGTTGTCTTTATTGCAGATCACGCGACCACCACATTAACTCCTTTAACAAAGCCAGATCTATTAATTATCTTAATATTGTGTATATCGGTCCCAATCATAACAAAGTCGTACTGTATGTAATTGACAGTGAATGAACTGGTTGTACTGTTGGTTGCCAGATATGAAAACCCAAGGGGAAAAAAGGAAACGTATACCAGACCTAAGCGAACCAACTGCAGTCATGCTAGCAAACAACAAGGTTGAACAGATCCTTAAAATCAACGCTATTTGGGATAGAGGTCACAGGGGCGTGCAAGCGTGAAGGCCTCAAACATACCAGACCAAATCTTTATTATACCTTCTCTTGACCACTCGACCGTTACTCTTATATAACAAGGATAAATTCACTTCATTCTAATTCACTTCGGTGCTCAACCGAATGAATACACTTTTCTCAGGATTTTGAAATTTAATTTGAGTTTTAAAATTTGAATTAATATTTAGGGGCCATTAAAAATGTATTTTTTATTTTTCTTTTATTTCAAAGACTCTGGTTTTTCCTTCGGTGCTACAGTTCATGCCGTGACATCCATGGCATGATGGGGCATGTTAAATATCATACCACGATCGTAGGCGACAGTAAATTCCCGTTACAGTGCTTCCTAATGCAATGCTCTTCCAGAGTTCTCCCACTGATTAGGCTGATACTGTATTCCTTAGAGAGCTGCTGCTTCAATTAGTTTTGCATACAGGTACACAATATCAAGTAACACCCGCAAGAAAACCGTCCAAACTTGTGCTGCAAGGCTCTACGTTTTGACGTTGGTTTTTTTTTATAAAAGCACAGCGGAATATTTGGAGCTACATGGACCGGCCATCGCTCTTGCTGTAGAAGATGTTGACCGTCCAACAAAAAATCAAGCTTCACTCGAACATGGCAAATACATGTAATGAGACCTGAAATGAATCCAAAAATGGAAATGAGTGATGCATCAAGAGGAATCAAAATCTTAGGGGAAATCAGCTGAATATTTCTGAATGTTTTTCTGTTTCACGGTTTTTGGTTGATAAATTCGTCAATTATTGGTGTCACGGGGATCAGGAAGTTTAGGCGGTACTAACTCACCCATCTATCCATCCATAAACCAGGGGCGTAGCCACAGGGATGGACCTTGGGGAACGTTCCCCCCCCCACACACACACTCGCAGATGTACACACACATTCCACGTGCCGCCCAGGTGCCCTGCAATTAAAAAAAAGGTGAAATGGATACTGAATAGGGTTAATTAACAAAAGCTTGCCCCAAAACGACATCACTGAAAGCTAGTGCCCCAAAAGATTCTTGTCCCCCCCCACTAGTAAAATCCAAGCTACGCCACTACCATAAGCGCACCCATTTGGGTTTTAACTCATCTAAAATATTGCATAAGGGAAAAGTGAAATATTTTACCAGAACAATAAAAAATTAATATCTGGGAAAAATCAGATGAAATTCTCTTAGATTTTTTTTCTGAAATTGTATGTTATAAGGTCGGTGTGTTTGTGTTCTTACAATTTCAACGTTGGCCCGGTAGAACAATTTTTTGTGACGTTTCCCTCGTTTTCCTTTAATATTTTTTTTCTGTTCTTTTCTGGATAGTACAACAAATCAATGGCCACCTTGACGCAGATGCTAAACATGGAGGGAATTTGTAAGTTAAGTTATTTCTTAGAATAAACATTTAGGAAGACATTCGTACCTCTTTTGTACATTAATAAGGGAACAAACATTTGCTTGGCCGGACTTCTGCAACTATGTTTAAGAACGCAGGTGCTTTGGAATCTGTTGATTACCCGAACATATAGCAAGGGCCATTATACAAGCTTTATTGTTATCGGATTCATGAATGAAGTAAATACCTTTTGGTACAATTGACAAAGTCCTCCCAATTATTCGTGTATATACACTTCATGGACTCGCAATTTTGTGGGCCCTTTCCCTATCCATGTTCACGGGCCACTGTCAAATGACTGTTTCTTCCTTTATCACTCTACATACCAACAAGAACTGGACCATCTACCTAACTACGATGGCTTTATATTGCCAGTGGAGATCAGCAAGAAAAATAGAAAATAGTTTAAATGTGTTCACTCGGAAATCTTGTTTTGTTAATAACACTAAAATCAACACCTCAAAATGAATATGCAATCGAATTTGACAAATTTGAATTTGATAAGAAGATTACTTTGCTATTTGGGGTAATTTATTTGTCAACTCGGAGGTTCACTGAAGAGTGTACGATAGCCCTTGAGATAAACTTCTCAGGTCTTTTCAAGAAGTTTACATTCACTGCTCTTTTTTGGCAGTTCTATATTTTGAATGCGTTTGAATGGTTTTCAACTAAATGGTTCTCACACCCCTGAATTTCCCCTGGAACATTTCGCTTCTTCGAATAAAAGATAACCTTCAACATTGTGACACCAAAAGAAATTGGGAAAAGTAATCAATGTTTATATCTACTTTCTACAATTGGGCAAACATATTATGTTTTTAAGGTTTTAAATTAGTTTACTGAAATGCTTTTACAATCAAGCACTATTGTTTAATGCTTCGACCTCAGCAAACCATACATGTAGTTCACGCACATAGTGTTATGCTGTGTCATTAAGCAGTACCAACTACACGTGTAGAATAGATTTGATCTAACATGACACGTGCACAACAGCAATCTTGTCCGTGTCTTATTGAATTACAAGTCAGATTATAGCAAAGCATAGGACACTACAAATTACTAATAATCGTTTCAGCTGTTGAAGATGTAATTGCTCTTTGACCCTACATTTCCTTGGCTACACAGCCCACTCAATATTGAGGAATTGATTTAGCTTCTTTAACGTAAATACATTTCAAAATTGCCACAGCGCCCCTTGATCCTAGTGCAATGTAGCGTAGAAGACAATCATAATCCTTGTTCAGACTGGTGCTAACTGCTATTTTGTTAACCGTAGAGTGCATTTTGTTCAGCAGTGTATGACATTGGTAAGCACAGAACCTTTACTTTACAGAAGGTGTTATAATGGCTATCTTGGACGTATTTTATGCAGGGCATACCGTGCCAATTATTGTGGTGCGACTCTTTACGAGAAAGTACGTGAGACTTGCCATGCCGTCCGTGGAGTCTCCAACCAAGGTAGTGAAGTCAAAATCAACTTGAAATATACTGTCTCCCGCCAGTGCCAGGCGTAGCCAAGCGAGGCAAGGGCCAACTAGGCCCTGTGGGAACGTTTGCTCCCCCTCTTGCCTGATTACACCTCTGTATCTCACTGTCGAGCTAAAAAACCAAAGCTAATAGAATTTGAGTATTGAAACTGCCCCTGCACTTCTTTAGGAAGGGTTTTCCAAAAGAAGAGATTTCATAATCTAAGAACATGAAAGCAAAGTACTTTTAACCGATGCTGCCATAAAGACGCATTCTCTCCAGAGATTGCAGAAACTGAAATCAAGAAAAGTTTTAATTTTCAGCCAATTCCTTCTTTTTTTGGTTCCCCTTTTATGTTTCGCTTCTTTTCTTCCCCTTATTTTTTGGGGGGTCCCACCTTGATCCCCATGATATATGCATGTCTCCATCAACAGACTGTACACGCCATGCAAAGGAAGGCTGCAGAAGGACGTTGTCTTTAGCCTATGTAAAGAGGCCTCCTGTTTCTCCGCTCTGTTGATTTGTGAAAGAGTCGATTTTTTAAGGTGCGGCTGATGGTAACATACAAAAAGACAGAGTTTTTTTGGGTGAAAACAAAATCATCGTGCCACTTTTGTTTTCTCCTCATCTGTGATGCAGAGTTTCTGGATTCAAAGGACGCCAGCACATTCTTGTTCGGACGTGGTATCGAAAAGCGAGGTTTGCACCACGAATGCTGCACTGAAGGATGCAGCTTCGAGGAGATTTATGAATCCTGCTAAAGGAGACACCAACACCGACCTAGCTAACTTCTTGCCATCGACGGATTCAGCTTTACAACAAATAAAGTTTTCCGTCTTGTCCCAAGATATGAGTGGTAGTGGTTTCTTCAACGAAATAATGACAAATAAAATGGCATTTGCTTCATTTTTATGACATTTCGTGAACATTGAATTGGGAGCTCCTAGTTTTACCTCCCATTGCTTGGGGAATGGATTATGCCCCAAAGGCCTCAGCTGTCTCAAAATAAAATCTTGGCCTCTTGACTTATGTTGAAAAAAAGCCCATACATTTCCGAAGTTTTGATCCAACCAAATCGATCCAACCTTTCTCCTAGCTGAGAACTGAATGGATCAACAGCGCATTAAAGATTCCTTTCAGGTCCCTCACAGTAGAAATGGAGTATATTACAAGACACAACAGCTTATTCCTCAAACTAAGACAACTTTCTTGTTAAGACAACTCTGTTTGTTTGTTTGTTTGTTTGTTTGTTTGATTGATTGTTTGTTTGTACATCGACAGTGCTCTTTTACAGGAAGTGTTATGTTTAACGAAGCATTTTAAAAACGAAGAATGACTCCTTGCAGTGAACTTTTGGGCTATATTTGAAACCTAGAGAGTGTTTTAAAGCACGAAGAAAATACATTTCCGTACCACATCCATGCTTATGCATTATGCATGGCTCTTCTTTCAGGAGATATGCCTTCATTTACATAAAAACGCCGACTACGAAGGGTGTATTTTAAGATTTTCTGGCCCTTTGATTTTTCTTTCTTTTCTTTCTATTTGATTTTTTTTAATATGTTTTCAATCTGCAAGCATGAAAGATTAAAGTTTACCTGCAAAGCAGTCAGTTTGTAAACTGTGTGTTGATTTTTAAAATATGAACGAGCTATCTTCTGGATGATTCAGAACTTCGAACTGATATGTAAGATAACGGTCCGGGACATAATTTTAGTTAATGTGCTGATGACTACATAATCTATATAACCAAAGTTTTCGAAGCAAAAAGGAGTAACTTAGGGGAAAGTCTCCTACTAATTGTAATTGATCCAGCTAATTATAGGTCCACAAATCTGATTTTTGAGGTTACAGGTCGCTGCCCTCCAACTTTCCTCTATGATCCCTTTATACCAGATAGAGACTAGGCTCTGGATGACTTTGCCGCCAAAGGCCTACGTGCAACAAATTTAACATATCTGACCGAGTACAGGTTCTTCTTCAAGCCGACGGTGTGGATTCATGAACACCTTTTCTTTGGTTTCTTGGGCGCG